GCACGAAGTCCAAGTAGTACTCCAAGTTGTACGGGCCACTGGGTAGGGTCCGAGACATCTCCAGTGTAGCACATGGCAGCCTCAATGATACCGCCAGCAGCTCCGACAGCGTCAATGCCCAGCTTCATGTTCTCCATGTAGTTAAGCGAGTCAAACACACGGAAGACGTCCATGCCTGTAGCTTGGGCCTTCTCACAGAACTTGTACACCACATTGTCCGGGTAGCTCGTGTAGCCAACAGCATTGGCACCACGGAGCAGCATCTGGAACGGGATGTCCGGCACAGCTTCTCGAAGAATAGCAAGACGGTCCCACGGGTCTTCACGCAGGAAACGCATCGACACATCGAACGTCGCTCCGCCCCACATCTCGAGCGAGAAGGCGTCACGCATAGCGATAGAAGTCGCAGGAGCAACAGCTAGCATGTCACGTGTACGCATACGTGTCGCCAGCAGCGACTGGTGAGCATCACGCCACGTCGTGTCCGTCAATAGCAGACCCTTCTTGGCACGTACAGCCTTGGCGAAGGCTTCGGGGCCTTGCTCGACGTAGATCTGACGCAGAGACTTGTCCTTGGAAGCAGGAGGAGCAGTTAGCGTCGGAATAATCGGGTCCACCTTCGACGGAGAGGGACCAGTGGCACCCAACGCCTTCTCCGGGCCGTTAACGATGGTGTTTCCGATGTATTTCAGCATCTTCTGGCCACGGTTAGTGGATTTCGACGGCTCCAGTAGAGCTGGGTTCTTGGCAATGAAGCTCGTGTCCACAACACCCTTGATAAAGTCTGGATGGTTCAATACATTGGCCAAGAAGCTCTTGTTGGTAGTCACGCCACGTACACGGAACTCGGACAACGCACGCTTCAGCTTGTGCGCACAGTCACCACGATCCAGCGCACGAGCAGTCACCTTGACGAGTAGAGAGTCATAGTGAGGCGTAATGTGAGCACCGACGAAGCCAGGACCGTCATCCAGACGGATGCCCATGCCACCGGGGCTACGGAATACCTCAATGACTCCAGAGTCCGGCTGGAAGCCCGTGCTCGGGTTCTCCGTGGTCACACGGCACTGCATGGCATGGCCACGAGGCTTGATCTTGTCCTGACTCAATCCCAGATCCTTAAAGGTCTCGCCACCAGCGATACGGATCTGACTCTGCACCAAGTCGATGCCTGTGATCTCCTCAGTGATCGTGTGCTCGACCTGGATACGAGGGTTCACTTCGATGAAGTAGTGACGTCCTTGTTGGTCCACCAGGAACTCTACTGTACCGGCGTTCAGGTACTTGGCAGCACTGGTGAGACGCACTGCGTCATCGATCATAGCCTTCTCCGTCTTGGGGTCCAGACCCACAGCTGGGGCCGTCTCCAACACCTTTTGATGACGACGTTGCACACTACAGTCACGGTGGTACAGGTGCACGACGTTTCCCTTACCGTCACCCAAGATCTGGACTTCAATGTGGCGTGGGCGGTCCACGTACCGCTCGATGAAGACAGTACCGTCACCGAAAGCAGCCAGGGCTTCGGAGCTGGCTCGCTCGAAGTTCTCCTCGAGCTCCTCGGCGCTGTTGACCACGCGCATACCACGGCCACCGCCTCCCATGCTGGCCTTAATGATCACGGGGTAACCTACACCCGAGTCGATGAAGGCGCGCGCCTCGTCGAGGTTGTGCACAGGTCCGTCCGTGCCTGGCACCACCGGAACTTTCTGTTCGATGGCGATCTCACGCGCAGCGGTCTTGTCACCGAACCGCTGCAGGTTCTCGGGTGTGGGACCCACGAACTTAATGCCGTTCTTAGCGCATTGCTCAGCGAAACCCACGTTCTCACTGAGGAAGCCGTAGCCCGGATGGATAGCGTCGATGTTGTTCTCCTTAGCGATCTGAATGATGCTGTTGATGTCTAGGTACGCGCCTACGGGAGACTTATCCGCACCTACGAGGAAACTCTCGTCCGCCTTGTAGCGGTGCTGCGTGAAACGGTCCTCCTTGGAGAAGATGCCCACGGTACGGAGACCCAGCTCGTTGCCGGCGCGCATGATACGCGTGGCGATCTCGCCGCGGTTCGCGGCCATGAGCTTCTTGATGGTGCTAGCGTCGCGCGTCTGCACGCGCGTGAGGCTTGAGCCCACACGGCGGCCGACAAGAAGGCGCTGGGATCGAAGCATGGAGAGTGACGGTCTTGCTGCTCCCACGGCGAATTCCCGAATGAGGATACTACAACGTGGGGCGCAGGACAAGATATGCTTTTGGGTGCAGTAGTCCCGGGTTGGTGACTGAGCGAGTGTCACGACCTTTGGAGGAGCATACAAAGCTCAGGATATCGTAACCAGATGGGCTGGATTATGTACACCACATGGATGACAGAGGTGGGGCTTTTTGAAAGCACTTCAAAAGCCCTTGTCCGAATAATGGCAGTGCTGGGTGGCAACGAGCCGTTGTCATCGCTCGCCGAAGCGTTGCAGTTCACGACCGAGATATTAATAGTTTGATGCCGGCGCGAGAGAGCAAGTGAATGGACGCCAAGACGATGTGCATCCAGCTGGACGAATTTCTGACGAGGGGATGCGACGCTGTAGGCAACGCTGGAATCAAGACCGGCAAAGCCCACCAGAATGAGTATGCAACCCTGTGTTCGAGTCCAAGTCGGCCCTCCAGTTGTGTTGCTGCTTGAGGAGATGGGATCCTCGAAGCAGAAGTCGCACTGTGCTTGGTCAAAAGGTTTCGATGGGCTTCGGCTGGCTAACTCTAAAATAGAGTAATATACTCTAGTCTATTGTACTGGTAAACAAACTTCGTGACAACCGACACCCGGTACAGTATCAGACCAAGACTTGCATGATCTTGCGCTTCAACATGCTACAGCAAATCTCGCTATAGATTCTGGCATCGTCTTGCGTATCGCCTGAAGCTGGCACCGTAGCCTACGGTCCGCAGGTATTGCTCGAACCAAACTAATGCAGCACGTTGCATTGCAGCTTGCAATGCACTTCGGGTCAGGAAGTGAAGTGTTCCGGTGTCGTGGAAACTTAAACATACCTGCGATTCCAAGCCGAGAGGAGTGCGTGTATGCACATGTACGGTACTGGTACACTGGAATGGAGTCGTTGGCGCTGGCGAAAAAAATGGGGCCCGGGAATGCGGGCGTTCAGCGTGCACTGTTTCTTACATCGGCATCCAATCAGCCTGATTATTCTCTGGATATTCATATCCAGAGTTTTAGGGGCGGTCGACGATCCTCTATAAAATATTAGGGTGCTACATTTGTAATTATTAAAAGTATAGTGGCTTGCAAGTGATAGGCTAAAAGGACGGAGCACCTAATAAACTACGGTAAAGCATAAAAAGCACTGGTGAATGTCGTTCCAAGCCGCCTGGGTCAACATTCACGCTATCTGGTTTTAGGTGGATGTTGCTCCAATATACGATACCACCGATGGTGGGTGGTACAGTACATGAAGGCTACATGATTTAAAGAAGGGAATTGATGAATACTAATAGGATTCCTATCGAGGCCGTCTCGCTTCGTTCATCGACAGGATTTCGACTTCAGCCACCGCTTTCGTCCTTGTTAGCAATACATCCGAATTGATCAATTTCACCAACTTCCAAAGTTTCAGCGGAAGTCACTTGGCAGTATTCAGGACGATAAAACATGTGGAATGCCTATTAATTTGGAGATTGCACTGGGATCGACGGTACAATGCACAAAAAACGTGTCCACAACGTTTAAATTGGCAAATGGGTGAATTGGAACTGTCGTCGCCATAATCCCCTCGCAAGATGACGTCGTGCAAGTGCGAATTGCGAATGGTACTGTCACTCGTTGCCTCCAGATGTGGTGTTTGTGAAGTTGAAGGATTACGCTTCTCAGTCATTTGTGTCGACTTTACCACTTGGTGTCGTTCCCGTATGCAAAAGGACAGAATGTGGTGTCCGAATTCGGCAGCCAGATCGCTCATTCTCTATCTCAATTTGCCAAGTTTCTCTTGTGTTGGCGTACTCATTGACCACTGAGAAGTGCCAAGGACTGACAGTAGAGAAAATGATTCTTGCTCCGCTTCGTCATCTGACTCGCAGGATTCCTCAGCGTTCATCTTTCTATGTCGCCGTCACTCGAGTGAAAACGTTATCGCAGTTGTATTCCATGGCCCCACTTACGAAAAGCTTTTGGAGTATTTTTCTCCAAGTCGTGACGCGCTGGCAGAAACCCAAAGACTTCATGCAATTGAGGATCGAACAGATTAAGAAACCATAATGCTGTGGAAAAATTGTTACAGCTCTTCTTTAAAATACAGTACTTTCTTAAGTTAGGGTACCAGCTTGTTTTCAAGTTTCCGAAGTTCGGGGATAGCCACTCAAATGAATGAGAATCATTCTCGCTCGGTTTGTTGATGTCTTCTTCTAGACTGGAAGTCTTAGTTAAATCGCAATTTTTCTCCTTTTTTCCTTCTAAAAAGTCCTTCATTCCGCACTAGTTATTACTCTTTGAAAATACCGTAATATCCAGAGCTTCACCGGGCTTAGCACGGCATTAGTACATAATGATTGCGTTTGGTAATTAAAGATAGGGCTTTTTCAAACTGAATTTACGCACATTGCAAGTTGCGTTGCAATTTGCAACGCAGGAAACGCTTGGTGAATGACAGAACCTGGGAAACACACAGATTTACGGCTACGCACACAGAATATGTGTCAGCACATAATGCATGCGGGGTGCACATCAACAACATTATACACCACACTAATTAAATACGTGGCACACTGTGATACGGAGCGTCACGCCAAATCTTGGTGGTAGCACACCACTCATTATCAACGAATCAATTTCAAGAATTAACCACATTTTTACCAATTAAAACGTAGCAACTGGGCTATGAGCAGCCATAGAACACTAGCCATTTAAAAACTGCAGCCCCCTACGCAGCCCAAGAGCTCCACCCTCCATCCTTCTGCCTCAAGATGCCTCCTACATACACCTGGAAAACTGTGTGCAGTGACATGGCTCAGGAAGATGCTCAGCTTCTAGTCGAGGACTTGAAGTTCTTCATCATCGTGAAGAGCCACTTGATTCCATGTGCCGTGTGTGCCCTGACAAGGCCGCATAAGATGCGATACCAGCTGCTCAGGTGTTCGTCGGAAACGTGCAAGGCTGTCACACCGTATGACGCCTGTCCGTGGTCAGGTAAGACTCTCATTTGTCAAGAGCTGAATCGAGTAACCGTCATGGAGCATGGCGATCACGAAACCCTCGTCCGAGACCCACGCAAGCCCCAGCTTACTCCGCGACTCAAGGACTACAGCCGCGAAATGGCAACCCAGGGGCTGAAGCCAGCACGAATCCGCATGGGTATGAGCCGGCGTTTCGGGTTAACAGAGGAAGAAATGCCAACGTACGCCAGGTGCAGTGGTTTGTCAGTAACTTTACGAAAAAGAAGTTGCGTCGCACGGACGATTATAATGTCGCTCTGGACCAAATTGGTCAGTTGGAGTTTGGTCCCTCCACGTCGGAACGCAGCCGTTTTTATTTGGGTGGAAACGTAACAGTGACGGAAAACCAGATGTGGGTAATGGCTCTGACGAAAACCCCTTCCTGGTCGGATTGACGACCACGTGTCTGTTACGAAACGTCGTGCGGGATCCGACATCGTTCGTCTTTCACATGGACGGAACCTTCAAGTTGAACCATGTGGGATATCCTGTAATTGTCTGCGGCATTTCGGATCGAGGACGATCGTTTCATCTTGTGGCTCTCTTCGTCACGTATCAGCGGTTGGAAAGCCTTTATGTAAAGGCGCTTTCGGCTCTTCGCAAAATGTTTACTGTGGTTACTGGTCATCAACTGTCCCTGAAATACGTGATGGCCGATGCTGAAGCTGGGCAGCTTAATGCCGTTACCCAGATTTTCGGGATGGACTCAGATCTGACCTACTTGATGTGTTTCTACCACGTAATGTCCAAGGTACATGAGCGACTTAAAGCGGTACCAGTTGCGCTGCGCGAGCAGGTTGTCGCTGACATTTACGACCTTCACTTCGCGTCAAGTCAAAGTGCCTATGACGGACTGCGCTTGACAGTACTTGCTAAGTGGTCTGTTGAAGAACAGTTGTTGGCGTTTCGGAGTTACTTCGAGGCCATTTGGGTTACAAGCTCGTTCAACCGCTGACAATGCTTTCATACCCCAATTGGTTATGCGACGACCAACAATCCCGTTGAGCAGTTTAACCGTTTGATCAAGAGGGACTACACGCTCCGTTCGAAGCACAAGATTGGAACGCTGATCCACTTGCTGGCGGACTGTTGCAGTCATCAGTCAGTCACGCCACGACCGGTTAAGGAATCCCCCCAAGCCACACAGCAGTTAAAGGCTCGTGTGAAAGATTTTCGACTCGGTGGCTTGCTACGGGATATGACGCCGACCCGATCTAGTATCGAGTTCTTGCTTGTATTTCCAAACCCGAATGTGGTTCGTGTGGTATCATGCGGGGCCCAACGCGTATACTTACCGGAGTTGGGCCGAAGTCGTGAGGTAGCTCCCGTTTCGGCGCAGATGGGAGATAACTATGCAAGAATGGAAGCTGAAGGCCAACCTGAAGGTGGTTGGTATGTGGATGTTCGTCTCCAAACCTGTGGATGCAAGTACAGCTTCAAGTTCGCCATTTGTATCCACGTCGTATTTGCTTTGCAGGTCAAACACTACACCGGGTTGGATGGCAAACGGACACTTGTCAACCGTTCGGCTACGCAAAGAAAACGACAAGCTACGTTGAGCATGAACCGCCTTCCTCCGGGCCGCCCTCGAACCAATGGACATGCATTAAGTACAAGCTAGTTCTTAATTCAAAAGTACAGCAATTCGTTTCCGTTACATTTTTTAAAGTGTGAAACGGATATGCTCAACGCAAGCAACAGCTCTGCATTCTCCAACTTTCTCTACAACGATGGCCACCTTAATCAACACTCAAGCTCCCCCGTCCGCGTTCAAGGCTTTTTTCGACTGGTGCAAGCAGTATCTAAAAGAACGTGGGTGGGGGAGGTTGGATGAGGTAGCCGCCCGGTATTTGAGGTCATGGGGCCTTATTCAAGCGGGAGCGCCCTCAAATACCGGGGACACAATCGAGCGACTGCTTGATGCGGTTTCTCACCCGCGCATCACCAAGGTCCGCCTGGTCGAAGCTACAACCCAATGATGCGGGTGA